GATGAGGGCGTACGTCCTGTATGGCGATTAACGCAATCTGCTCGGTGAACAGCAAGAAGAGCGAGCCCGATCACATGTGCACGGGCCCGGACGTAGCGTTTCCTCGAGATCTTTGCCATCTGGATGAATCAAGGTACGAGCCTAGAAAAATGGAGCTTTTCCTTTTACCGCGAGCATGCAGCTATAGCTACCTGGCACGTGCAAATAAACGAGGATGAGCACGCGGTACGTACCGGTATGCATTAGCAGCAGCGCGAGCCATGTCGCACAGTTGAGCCGCGGCGACTAGCAGCTAGGGCATCATCAGGGATCGCTCGATCTTGGCACGCGCGCGCGCCCGCGCGCGCGCCCGCGCGCCCGCGCGCCCGCACGCACTCGCACGCGGTACCGTACATAGGTTTCGACCCCCTTTGCCGATCGAGCTCGAATTCGTGAATGCGGCTGAAAAGCACCTCAGCAGCAGCAGTCATCATGTCTCTATTTTGGCTCGAGAGTGTGCAGAGCAGACGTGAGAGCCGGATGAAACGCAATGATATCTATGGGCTGTAGTCGGGAGCTACGAGTGACTGGACGCAACCCCAAGAGAATCTGCGAATGCTCTTCGATGCGCTGCGCTTGTCCGCGGACGTCCGCAAGTCAGGGCAAAGATCGAGGAGCCGGCCGAAGCTCCTCCTGCCCGTGCATGAGTATTTGTATATGTATAGCCACGAGTTGCGGGTGCGTGTACAGCAAGTTTTGATTGCATGATCGGGATATGTGTTGCGGTTATCCTTGCGATTAGAAGAACGAAGCTGCAGTTCACCGCGGCATCCGCGGTCAACGTAGCGCTGCTGCTGAAGATCCCCCCTCACAGTCCCGCATCATCCATGCACATGCGCCTGCTCGCCGTGACCACGCATGCTGCTGCTGCTGTTGGTGATGAGCGTGCTGTGCGGCTATATAGCTGCTACACTGCCTGCCCACAGCAGTACAAGATGTGCACGAGTCGAGTGGCCGCTGCATGCTAGGAACTTAATCAGCGCGCATGCATCCAAATTGCGGTACCGCATATATAGTCTGTGAGTACAGTATACCTATACTTGCGCATGCACCGAACTCACACTACTTGACTCGCCGCGTGTTACGTATTGCCCGCGCGTTCGGGTCATTCCCTCGCTTGCTGCTGCTGGCACCTATATTTCCCGCTACTATACCGCAACTCGGAATTGGCATGTCCGTTCATGCGCGCCATCTTTGACATTCACGTGATTCGTGACTCGTGCCACCAGCATGCACCAATCGTGGGCGAGCTTGGTGAGCGTGGCATTCGTTTGCGCGACATTCACGATTCTTGATTCGTTTGCGCGACATTCGTTCGCGTGGCATTCGTTTGCGCGACATTCGTTCGCGTAGAGCGGGGCTACCTCGTACGGTCAGAAGCAGAAAAGGATCGACATTGCACAGACTCTTCTGAGGGAGGCCCGAAATGCTTGATTGAGCGCGCAGGTCTACGTGAATTCGCGATGCAGCATCATCGGCCCTCGCACTGACCAGAACGCCACATGCCCATACTGCAGCCAGGGCGGTGTTGCGCTAAGCTATCATGCGCTGACACAGTCAACAGTGTAGTAGATGCGCTGACACAGCTAGGAAGGCTCTCTGCGCAGGGCAGGGCAAGCATGGAGGGACCGGTCCATCCATGGCGTCGCAGAGGCCTCATCATCGTTACAGTTTACACAGCTCGTTTAGCTCTGCTCTCCTCGCCCCCCCCCCCCCAATTTTGCTCGTTGCTTGGGGAGCAGCAGCGGAGCTCAACATCTCCCTCGCTTCGCTTACAACGGAACGGCCCGCGAGGCCCGCATCGTAACCCACCAATCCTTGATATCTCCGTTCACATTGACACGGTGGTAGCTGCTGAGCTACATCACATATGGGGACGCGCGACCGATTGACCAGAGCAACGGGTGAGTGGCGCTCTCTACTGCGCGCGCGCCAGCTGTTCTGTCTGACGAGGGCCTTTCAAAGCTTAAAATTTTGAGACTCCGTCTTGGTCTGCGTTGAGCGGGTGCAGGCCTGTATGCATGGCGAGGATTCTCACGAGCATAGCGCCCGATCCCTGCCCGTCCTCGATTCGAATTCGCATCGATCGAGCGACTACATTCCCCCCGTGCAACGCGTCAGCAGTCTGAAAGGGCTGCTGGATTTGCGCCAGAAGGGTCGGCTTTGCGACTACAGGCAGCCGGGCACTGGCCTCACAGCAGCTGCCATGTGCGTCAGCAGTCACGAAATCGTGTTTGCGATGCTGTTCCAAGCTGTGTGGCTGGCCACGCCAATGTGTGAATGCAAGGCGCGCGGACCACGTTCAGCTCGCCACCACGACTCGTCGAGCCCGAGCCCGAGCACGGGCTCGCAGCAGCAGCAGCTTTCATGTGGTTGCACCCCGTTGCACCCCGAAGCGCCACAAAGACAACTCCTCGGATCCTTGGGATGCTGATGATGATGATGATATCGAGCGTGTGCTGGCTGCATGCATGCACGCGCGGCCGCGTGGACATGACGGTGATTTGTTTGTGTATTGCATGGGTCTCGCGCGTTGTAACCGAAAAGTGAGACATGGGTTAGATGGCCGGAGGGCTGATGGCATGCGCGCCCGGCCCCGTTGGAAGAAGCTAAACTGATATACCATCACCACACGATCGAGTGGATGGCTGTGCTGCTGCTGGTCAGTCGTGAGTTGGAGTGTGAGTGTGACGAGTGTGTATGTGCACACTCATCAACCCATGCGCGCGCAGGATTCGCGCAGCAGACAGCGCGTGTCTGAGGTCGGTCCGAGCTGTGGGAGGGTCGGTCCGAGCTGTTATTCCGCCGCACAGGCCGCGTTTGGAAGCTTACATAGCTGCTGCACGCATATGCACGTGCAAAAGAATGCCCCGCTGCACATGCAGAGACTATTATTGAGTGACGATATAGACGCGCGCGCGAGTGTTTGTATGATAGAGGTGATTTGAAGAAGCGAAATCGAGCGAGACGCGCATGGGCATGGGCACTTGGACTGTGAGCACACCCAACGAGTTTGTACCGCTCATGCAAAGAAGTCGTGATTCGCCGCCTGCACCCTCTCGTCAATTCACAAGCGAATGTGTACATGTAACACCGTATGCACGAGGGCCTGGAACTTGATAGTGGCCGGGAAAGCTGGCCATGCATGCATCGTGAATGACTGACCGATCCACTGCTTAATCACGAATGGTGATGATGATGATGATGTCCACACTTGAGCTCAAGACTCGCGCCACTCTGGACGGGTGCAGCTAGGGTCTCCTTGGCTCGTCGAGAGGACAATGTACGAATGGCTGTGCAAATTTATCTCCAACAGAGCGCTGCATGAGACCCTCTGGGTTTCATCACGAATTGGGCAGGTGGGGCTGCTGCTGCTGCTGCTGCTATTCTTCCCGCCTCTTGACGAGCCCGCGTATGGCGGTATCGGGACCGGAACCGGTTCCGTAAACGAAGGTCAGGCCAGCCAGCCAGTCAGCCCGCGCTCGCTGCTCGAGCGCCAGGATCACCCTGAATGAAGTCACTCAGTGTCCGTTTGTTCCCCTGCCGAGTCAGCAGCCATAAAGAAGGCCGCAGAGGTTCGCCTTCCCCCTCCCTTTCAAAATGCGCTTCATCACCCCCCGTCGCCCCCACCCTCCCCCCGCAGGAGCGCTGCGGCTTCCACCGCACAACACGGTCATACGCCTCTAATCCTTTCCTCTTCGCTCACGTCGCGTTGGCGCCCTGATCCATCGCTGTTGTCGCAGAGTCGAGCTGGTGTCTGGTGCGATTGACTATCCCAGCACTGGCTCGCTCTTCCTCCTGGCCCCCCCCCCTTTTGAAGCATGTCTGCTCCTGGCGAGCGCAGCAATGACCAGGCGCGGCACAGACTCAGCTCAAATCCATCGATGACGGATGACAGGCGCATACACGCCGCCTTGTCGACCACTTCGGATGTCTCGCATGCCCCGGTAAACCTCGATGAAGCGTCACAAGCGTCACCGGCTAATCTCAATCTGTATCACGATCCATCTTTCCAAAATTCTGCTTCGGGCATGTTGTGGGCTCATCAACAGCACTATCCAGAGCAGAGAGCCTCGCAGTCGTACCTCGAAAGCGTGACCCCGACGCAGCCTGCGGGCTTGCCAATCATTCCCGAGCAATTTGGCGGGCATTCGCAGCTCTTGCAGACTCGACAAAGTCATGCATCCTCCTCCTCTATCGCCTATCCATCCTCACGCCCAGAGTGGCCAATGTCTCCTTCTGCCGACCCTCAACGGGCATCGACGATCGCCTCGTACACAAATGCGGGCCAGCCGGTGCTTCACCAAGATGTTTCCAACCTCTGGCGCCAGTTTCGGGTCCCCGAGCTACCTGGCAGCAGGAGCGCAGACACGTCATCAGGTCTTCTAGCAGCTGATTCTGTCCTGTCCAGCTCTCACCACGCCTACATCGACGATGACCAGCGAGTCACTATCGATCCGTTTGCCCGGGATTGGCGAGCTGCTCAAGCTCCCCAGGCGCCCGCACCGGTGACCGGCTTGGGATTCTACGGAATGCCCGAATCGATCTGGCGCAGCCCATCTGGGGGCGCCAGTCTTGATCAGGCTCCGCCAGCCTCTCCGTTGACTGAGCAATCTGCCAGCGCGTACGCTGCGCCAGCTAGCCAGCGCTGGAGCAGCGGCTCCCCCGCCGAGCAGTGGTCTTCCGAAGGAGTCTCCCCGCCCACCCTGGACCTCAGTAGCGCATTCTACTCTCAAGCTGGGCGCTCCCAATCTCAGTCCGGCGGGCCTGCCGCGCCGGTGCGGAGCAAGAGCGGTCGCAAAGGAGTGCGGCGTGCCAGAGCTCCTACCATGTCCGCTGTCTCGTCCTCGATGCAAATCGAAAGTGGCTCTGCTTCCCGCTCCATGCGCCGTTTCTCTACCATCGGGACCAGCAGCTCTCAGCCGCTGGAAGCCGACTCGGCATCGTCGCAGTCGCCGGAGATGGCGAGGAACAGCACCGGCAACTTGACAGTCCAAGGGTCGCCCACTGCTAGCATCACCACCGCAAACTTCTTCAACGAGTCCGACAAGCGCGCTTCCATCGCTTGCGTGCTCTGCCGCAAACGCAAGCTTCGCTGCGATCAAGCTGAACCATGTCGTCAATGCGAGAGGCGTGGGCTTCGTTGTGAATATGCGCTCACGCAAAGTCAGTCCCAGCGCGTAGACGAGCCAGGCTCCAGCACGGGCGCCACAGCTACACCTGGCGCCTCCAAGAGCCACAGCCGTCGCAAAAGCATCACTGGCAGACCGACCCTGGGTGATGTGGTGCAGCGTAGCGCAGCTTCGATTTTGAGCCCGAGACTGGGCGCTCAGCTGAGCCAGCGTTCTATCGCATCGGCGGCTCAGGACGCTGGGGTGCCGCTGCCGGTGAGCAACTTTGCGCTCCTAGAAGCCAGCAGCCAACGACAGCCTTCAGGGCCCAGCTTGGTGGGCGCAGTGACACCAGCAGAGGCGTCTAGCTCAGCTAGCACATCACCTTCCGACAGACAGGTGCATTATTTTGGCCAAGGCCAAGGGACCGCGATGAATGACAATCACATTGGCTGCGGTCCGACACGAGGGACTCTGCGCGAGCGAAATCGACCTCAGGAAGAGGACGTGTCCTGCTCGCCCCGCGCCCTTGGCCTTACGTTGCAGCCAAGCACTAGTGGTGTGGCAGAGGAAGGAGCAGCATCGCCTCCAAAGGCGCTCTGCGTCATGCCTGCCACCTCAAACTCCCTCGAGCAGCTACATGCGGCCATCTCCAGAGGCCTGATCGCTTTGCGAGAAGCGCACATGTCCGAGAAGAGCCTCTGCGTACGACGTGCAGCGAAGGACGGCACGTGCGATGGAGGAGGGGCGCGGGAAGGCGGTGCAAGGAGCTGGACCGTCGATGCTATCCGTTATGCTGGCAGCGTTTGACACGCATCGTCAGCGTCACCCCTCCCCGTGGAAGCGCGCGCGCGCTCTGCTCTCGTAACGTCCGCCTCGTC